AAATACTTTTTATTTGTTTGGCAACGTGTACAAGATGATTTGCTGTGAATCATTTTCTCAGTGTACATATTCGTCCTGACAGGTAAATTTTTAGGTCGGATTGCTCATATTGTACTTTTGCGTATGTGTTGAAATACATTAGCACCCGCCTTTCGTGTACCATATAAGCTTGTGGATGTTTACTGATATTTATAACTATTGGGTTTTGGGGAAATAATGACAGGTAAACGCACAAGAAAAAGTGACCTGGATACTGATACGTCCGCGTATCTTTACAATGGGACCAGTAATGTTAATTTAATTAGAACGTCCACTTGAATATGTCTTAAAGTCTATTTCTGATTGAAGACACCCTGAAACCAGTTGCTATGAGGATCACGTATCCAACTACTTCAATACACCTCACACATGTATTTTATTGTGTGTGCATGTATGGGACAAATATGTTTAGTGGAGGCACATCTCGTACAATTATCCGCAGAGATCATTTGAAAATCTTAATTCTTTGCTGGCATGTCTGCATGGTGGGTCAAAAAAACAATAGCAGATGGTGTACCTTGGAGAGCCATCGGTTCTTCAAATCGTCAGCTAGCCAATTGCTAATTATGGGCATATCATCTCGTGAGTGATGTTGCCGTACCCTGTCAAATCCACATCTTCTGCTGTTTATGGCTGTTCCTTTCATTTTTCACAGTGTTAGAACATCTATGCGTACATCATCCATCGATGACTGTGGTTGTACACACCCGTTGTTCACACTTGGTGCGCTCTGCGCCATCTTTTTCTGTGTATGCTCATGTCCCACTTCCCTCCCCCAACAGTTGGGTTCAACTGCCATCGGCATTAAGACGTCCGAAGGAGTCCTCCTGTGCGTCGAGAAACGTATCACATCCACACTAATGGAGCCATCAAGGTAATCGGTTGCACTATACACACGTGTACGGATATTTGAGGGTTTGAAAAACGGGTATAATGTCTGGGTGAACATGTTTATGCCGGCTTTTATGCGAGTATTATGACAATGGTGAATGTGTAGGAGAGTCTGTGCGCGCTATTGTGCTATTAGATTGACCTATCTGCCCTGCTTTATATTTGTTACGTATAGGGAAGTAGACTGTATATAGCCAGCTAGGAGTGCGTATGCTCGACCAATTCCGCGAGTTTGGATCCATGTATACATGCTATCGTGTGTTATATTCACCGACGAGTTTCCACGGTAAGAAACGGGATAGCGAAGTGGGAAAGTCTGTTAGGTGTATGCATTACGAAGGCCGTGGTATTTTGGTTGTGCTTTCACCTTTAATGCAACACATATGTATATGTATATATGTATATTGTAAATTGTATGTGCTTGTGGTTTATATGTATGTATTATATATATATAGTTTAATCTGAATAGTCGCTCCTTCTACTCGGTGCCTGTACCTAGATTAATAATAGTGGATTTCACGAAGATTGTGTTTTCAATCCCACTATTTTTGTTCGCTGCTCGCTTTTATCTCGAGCAGTGTGGTGAAGATCGACGAGATTGACCGTCACGTGGGTGCCGCCATGAGTGGGCTTACAGCTGACGCGCGCTCGATGATAGACCACGCCAGGATTGAAGCACAGGTGTGATATATTTGAATTAGCGTATATATATATATCTGTGTCCGTGTCCGTGCTAAATATAAATCATATACATGTTCATATATGTATATGCATATGTATGTGTGGGTGTGTATGTATACGCGAGTGAGTGCCTTAATGAGTATATATATATATATATATATATATCATATACATGTACATTTATATATACGATAGCGCACATGTATATATGGGTTTGTGTGTTTGTATGTGTCTATATAGTTAATTGCTAGTCGGAATTTGGCTTAGATCAGGGATGATTTTAGAAGCGTTCTGCATGAATATCCTTAACGAAAGCCTCGAAGGTAGAGTTCATGATCTGATTACCACCCGCAACTTTTTCCTAGCCACTGTATTGCTAACTCAACGATATGCATATTAAAATTGCTTATCTTGATGTAGCCCTGTACATGCTTCCTAAATTTGATCGTGGAACAGACCTTTTGAATGTAGACGATATACTGGGTGTATCTAGCTTGCACATACGTTATTTTTATCCGAGCAGATATATACAAAAGTATCAAGCATACATCACAAGCGCACCCATACACATGCCATTACCTACTCAAATTATTTATAGGCAAATTTCTCAATAGTAAATATCTGAGCACTATTTTTATTATTATTATTATTTTAATCCAATATCATTTGCTGCTGCAGAATCACTGGTTCACATACAATGAAAGCATCAAGATCGAAAGTGTGACTCAAGCGGTGTGTGATCTCGCTCTAAAGTTCGGTGAAGGGGGCGAGCGTGTCATGTCAAGACCCTTCGGAGTGTCGCTTCTTATCGCTGGCTATGACGAGAAGGGGCCCCATCTTTACCATACAGATCCCACCGGAACATTCTTCGCATACGATGCGAAGGCGATTGGCAGTGCCTCCGAGGGTGCACAAACCGCGTTACAAGACGCATATCACAAAACTATGACGCTCAAAGAAGCCGAAACGCTCGGATTGGGTACACTCAAGCAGGTGATGGAGGAGAAGGTTACGGCGACGAATGTAGAGGTGGCGATAGTTACCAAGGACAAAGGCTACCACGTGTACAGCGAAGAAGAGGTATGCATTATATGTACATATATATATATATATATATATCATTCTTGTCATGTATATCAGTCAATTTCTACATACGTATCCATATTCATATTTGTATGTTTGTTATTATACATATATATATATATGTATGTATATTTATTTGTATAATCATGTACGTATGTATGTACCTATATCTGTATGTATGTATTATTTTTATTTATTCATAGATATATAAAGTTTATAAGTCTATGTTGAGTGTGTGTGTGCGCGTCAACGGTCGTCCGAACGCTGTTTGAATGCGTTTCGCTTTGCAGTAGTACATCGACCTTTGGCTTGCACATTGCCAGTATATGTACGGACACGACTGCTTCTTTTGATCTTGGGTTCGTCTTTATCTCCCGTGCCTCTTGTGCTATATATGGTAGCATCTGACGCGCGAATATATTAATTTTTACCTGAACCTATAATCTTTTACTTCTACTCTGGATTGTATACATCCTGATACAAGGAGATACACACATATGATTTCTCAAGAGCAAATAAGTCTACCCGTAGACGTAATTTATAGTGAGTGCGACGTTGGTTACAGTCGGATGTTTGTCGCCACAAATTCCCAAGCTGCACTTAGACCTTCATTCGTATTCACCAGCAATCCGAGTGGTTTTTGTTCGTATAGATTTTTATGTATATGTGTATACATATATATACATACATACATGTATATTTACATCTACATATAAACGTTTAACTTTGCAAACTCGATCTTCCTGGTTATAATTGCCATTTACCTGCGGTCTAATAATTCTCAGGTGGAGGCTATCATTTCTGCCCTCAAGAGCTGAAGGAATGAAGGTGAACAGTATCGTTAAGGAATTCAACAATGATTTTTATGTAAATGTTTTTATGCTAAACATCGCTGTCAAATAACTAGAAATAAATGATAGGTAGTTAGCACGCTTGTTTTAATAGATTTGCGATATATGCCGTTGTAAATCTGTATTCTCATCGATGCCAGGTTAATAGGAGTAAAATCATAGGTAAGTGAAACGCGACTATTAGTTAAATTGAAGGAATGTTACGCACTATTTGGCTCTTCAAAATTAATACAAGTCAATCAAAGGCTCGATAAGAAACACAATTTCTATATATTGATACAATTTTCAGCGAGGAATATATGTAAATACTTTCTATATATATATGTTTATATATATATATATATGTTTATATATTTCTTAATCGAAATCTATATCTATATATATCTGTCTAAATGTTTATGTGTGTGTGTGCGTTTATATATTTATATATGATTACATGCATGCATAAATGTATATATGTATATATTTATATATGTATGTATATATATACATATATATCAATATTTATGTGTAAGCGTTTGTATATATATATCTGTATCTAATATATATGTATATGTTTATATATATCTTAATCGAAGTCTATATATAAATATCTGCTTATGTGTTATATATATGTATATATATATACATGTATGTATATTTTATATATATATACATGTATGTATATTTTATATTTATATACATACATAGTACGAACGTACATACATGTATACATATATATATGTGCGTGTATGTATGTATATTATAGATATATATGTATGTCTATAATATATATTTATTTATATTTATATATACTAAAACTTTAGCCCTCTTTCAGAGCTTGGCCGAGTTTCTTCTTTGTCGAACCTCTTGCTCTGAATATGTTTTTTTGGCGGTTACTTCCTTCTTGAGTACGAGCGTTTTGGCAGATTTCGTCTCGGTACTTATATCCTTCATGGCGTGTGGTTTGCTATATACTTTCTCACTAATTGAAACTCCTTAATGGCGGCTTGTTTTCTACTCTCCGTAACTGGATCCTTTGAATGTCCAGCTGTTTGCCAGATGCTTGCTTCCCAATATTCACGGCTTAAATGATACATATTCTTCAAGTCGCTAACTTTACTCACGATCGAATTTTCACTCTATTTAATTTACTATAAAAAAAGTGGTGCCCTCTGGTGAGCAGAACGCAGGTTTCTTCCGACGACAAAAATCATATGTGTATATTTTGTTTGTTATTTTTCTGTTTTTAGAAGAACAAAACAAAAACAGTACTAAAACAAATCATAGCCTTCCATACAGATTTTTTTTTCGGACCCACTTTTGTTGATATTATTTGTTGGATTTTTTTTAAAAAAACAAATCACATCGAAATGACTACAGTGGACAATGACATGAACTTCCGTTTGAAATGAAAAACCCAAGAAGAACAAAAATAGATTTGTTAATAATAAATACAAAACGTTCCGATTTTATAAAAAAACGAAATTCATAGCCACTCTGATATCAATTTATTACATTCATAAATATTTATGATTATTATTTCTTTACTCATGGACGTTTCCAATTTTTAATCTCTGTCGTTTTTAATTTTTATGACAAAAAAGTAAAAAATTGTACAATTTAGGCTATGAAAATACAAGTCAATATCTCACAGCTAAATATTCTCGCCCATGTTGCCAACGCCACCACGCGTCGTGGCGGTGGGCTATTGACCTCGAGTGCATGTATTTTGTATTTAACTTGGTTCAGGCATGATCTAGCCACGTATGAATGAATCCTGTGTCATAGCCTCTAAATAAATACAGTGTAATTAAATAGTAAATAATCCTGTTTTGTTTTTCGGTAGAGTCAAACCTCTTTTTTGTGGCACGTTTCATCATAGCCTTCTAAATCGAACAGCGCATTATAGCTCACTCTTGAGAGGTGAATACACTAGAGCTATGCAGCTATGTACATACATACGCGCATTTTACATGCTTCTTTCTTTTAAAAAAAAAAGCTTTCAAGCATCGACTTTGATCCAATTCGGGGTTCAATTGATGGTTTTTTCTTTGGCCCAGTTGTTGGTGATAAGCATTCATCCGCACCCAGAACAACACCACAGAATACTTGCATTGGACGCTCGCACGCAACAGGCGAGTACTACCGCTATTCTTACATACATTGTATTGTAATTCATTAATAGGTTATCATAAAACTCATGCTAATCTACTTCTCTTGAGAGTATAGCAAACCTTACGCGAATTTATACAGTGGTATTCTGGTACACACTGCAATAAATTTCCGGTCCCTATATAAAAAAAAGAGGTAAACAATAAGAGGTAGACAAAAATGAGGTTTGACTGTATTTTACTATCATTTCATTATCTATGTACTTGTAAAACTATATATTGCAACAATTCATGAATTATGGAGATTTGACTGTATTTTACTATCGTTTCATTATCAATGTACTTGTAAAAATATATACTGTATTTTTCTTTCATTTCATTATCTATGTACTTGTAGAAATATATACTGCAACAATTATGGTGATTATAGATATATCATAGTGACGTGAAATATCATGCTTTTTATCAGATTATTAATTAGTTTGGCAAAGTATTTAGACTAAAACTTTGCTGAGAAGCTCCGAATTCTGACAAAAGGATCCTCTCAATATATTTTCTTTCTGAACTGGTTCAGCTCTAAACCGGATCCACGGTGTAGCGAATGAGGAACACTCCAGCCCGTTAAAACTCTTAGCTTCGATCCACGGTGTAGCGAATGAGGAACACTCCAACTAATTATTCGTGATCCTGCCATACGCTTGTATTCCAGACATGCATGCATGCAACATGTATCGATAATAAAATGAAACCATATCAAATATACCCATCGCACACGTGCTCGAAAATCTATGAGCGTGCTCCGAATGTTGAATATACCCGTGGTTTACAAGCCACTTCTTCACATCACCGATGCCAGATCGGTACCCTTCCAGTCTCGACTAAATGCTCTTGCCGCGAAGAGTCGCCAGAGCACGGTGGTTTATACTGTATGTTTGTAAAATTTCGAGGAAACTCGGAATGCAAGAGGGCTCTTGAGGGATCTACGATCCCGGAAAGTCTGGATGGTCAATATTATAGATCTTGAAGACGGACACTAAACTTGAGTTGGTTCCTCAGAATAATACCTATCACCATCAGCATAATCTCGGAGAGTAGTAGAGCTCCCGATACTGACAGCTGTCGCGTTCCGATCCTGTTCTAAATTCCTCGCACTACTCAAACAACGGTTTAGTTTCTCTTTGCTCGGATCCTTCTTTTGATCTCGATCGGAAGGATCGAATACGGACCCATTTATACTTCCGACAATCGAGGTCTTGCCATTCGCTGTGAAATACAAGATAAATACAGTGATTCAATACAAACTTTGAATAGGTGTTTCAAAGTGCTTAAGTAGTAAGAAAAAAATTGCAGGATGTAAATTCGAATAGAATGACGTACCTAATCTTTCGTGATCCGGAAGAAGACCTGCTGTCTTGAGATTGTTTTGCACGTTATCCTTGTTCTCCTCGGCTTTGTTGGATTTTCGAAGAGCCTCTTTATACTCCGGTGTATCGACAAAAGTGTTCCACAAATTCAACGTGGTCAAAAATTTGATGGCTTTCAATACTTTCTGTTAGGAAGCAAAGTTGGCATATGAGACAACCATAATTCAACAATCAAGTCTTAAAATTGTATCAAACATGCCACACCGGCAGTGCAGTCTGAAACGGGGACGGACAACATGAGATGCAAATTCGAATCAGTAAATACATAGCCAGCGCTCGACTGCTATAATACTGTACCTCAAAGGTGCTATTGATACCCTCGCCATCCGCATGCTTCTTCAGACAATCTTCTCTCACAGATACTGTCAGATTCAGACTTAGGGAACCATCAGCATCAATGTATTCAACTATAATCCGTTGGAATTGGTTTGTATCATCCGTGGTCCAATGGCCCAGATCCTGCTTCCTATTTGTGCGAAATCGATGTGTAAAACAGGTTAAGCATAAAGAGTACAAAATGAGAAGCAAACTTTTAAAATAGGAGCCCAAGAACACCCCTTGACACTGGACCATATTATCAATATCAATATATATATATATATATATATATATATAACTTACTCTTGGAGATCGTACAGCTCGCTGAGGAAAGAAATATTCTCTCCGCAATACCGACCGTCGGCAAACGCCTGCAAGGCAGGTCGAAAGTATCCCTGTATAAAGGAAATTACCAGAGATGAGTTTTCTAGCTCCAAAGCACTAACATTATGCGGACAACTTCAAAAAAGTACAGTCGAAAAAGGCATTTCCAAGCGGAACCCCCTACACAAGGTACCAGTTGCGTCAATGTTGTGAAAACAAATAGTCCTTGTGTTGAATTACCTTGTTCGCGATCACCACATCCAGTTCATCCTCGTTCTTTATGAGACGTAGAGGCGCACCATGGAAATCAATGTCTCCCCAGAGAGTGATACCGAAAGCTTTTCTGGCGATAGCCTAAACAAGGAAAGTCCAAGATGTTAATTAGCAGAAAAACAATGGGTATGCTGAAAGTACAATGTTTTCAATTTTATAGTTTTGACCGAAGAAAACAAACAACTCCCAGAATCAGATAAAAGCTTCAAAATACATACCCGAACCAAAGGAATGGTGAAACTGTCCAATCCGACCAGCCACACAAAGTACAAGCTGATCAGTGTCTCCAATACAAACAGATCACAGGCGGCCGTCAAGTAGACGACGAAGAAAGCGATCTGTAACAGATTATGGATGACGAAAGCCCGGACATTCTGCCAGAACGATACAAACACCCTACTCGCGTGATAGGTGTAGTATAGATAGTAGAAGAACGCACAAGCCATGACAAACATTTGCGGGAAATGTGTCGACCGTGGAACAAATCGATTGCAGTCTGCATAGCCGCACGTAACAAACGGAACGGCGATGGTAATACAAATAGCCAGAAAGACGGGTACCGCTATCCAGAAACTAGGATTCAGCTCATTCTTGTAAAAAATGTAGTAGAAGAGGCGCTGCATACGTGGAAATAAACAGGTGTGGATGAGGAGTCTAAGAAGAATGAAGGACGGCTGCAAAAGAAAATATACCTAAGGCTTTCACCGAGCTTCTTAGAAGGCAACTCGCGACAAAATTTTAGAAGAACTGATTGATTACCTGTCGTAGGCACAAGCTCCCAATCAGAGTACACTGACTCGAAAAGCACATCAGGAAGATGTAACAAGAAAATCCTAGATGATCGAACCAGGTTCCATCTGGATCAGGGGCGATAGGAGCCTCCACGAATACGATGTGAGCCGAGCATGTCCATAGGGCGAAGAAGAAGTAAAACATAGTGAAGCCGTGGTGAAGGGCGACGATCTCCGGTTCGTACCAGGTGTATGCAAGCCCAGCGATAACCACCAAAGTAAATGCCAGTGTGGTATAGGCTTGCCCAAGTTGAACAATCTTCCATCCCTCGTCACCTTCCGCAAACATCGAATATCCAAAGTAGACCATCACCGCTGCAAGTAGAGATACCAGCAAGTATCATGAAAATATGATAAGCAAGCAGCCAGTTGCAAAACAATCGCGGCTCGCCAGTCGGCACTCTTGTTTAATACACTATTCGAAAGTACATGTATGTGCATGTAGGAGTAAGGTGCCGCGTATTTTTAAGTGTTACAGTAAAGATGTGGGCAACTATAGAGGCGTGAGCGAGTGCCAACATATATGAAAAATATTTACGCACATAATGACCATGTGGACTATACAAAACGTGTATGTGATCGAATTGTAATCGCATCGGAATATATGTTGTGCCATAATATGTAAAAAAGAAACTGTGACTACCATGTCAGAATATAATTTCATTACATATTGACCTACCCCATATTGTCGTTAGAATCGGTATAAAGAAGAGAGCCCATTTTGAAGCTGCGCGCTCACGAGACCTAGCTAATGCTTCTTCCTTATCATCTAGAATGAAAGAAGATGTCATGTTAACTTAGAGTGCTTATGGCAGTCAAGTAATGTATTCACGGTCAAGTAACGTATTCACGTCGGACAAATCTGAGTCTGATCTGAGACCGTAACGAGGAATTACTGAATGAAAAGGAAGGGCTCCATACAGTGGTGCCTAATCTATATATAATTGTTTGTTCCTTCTTTCTGTTTGTGATAATTGGCAGGTTGTGTTTTGAGGAAATAAAAAGAAGACTGCACAAGGTTATCACTGCAGAATGCAAAGTGCTGACTGACTATATATATATATATATAAATATATATAATTATATTATCAAAATTGCTTGAATCGTTGAGTTTGTGAGATTATTTATATATTTATTTATTAAAAAAATAGGTATTCAACAAGAGCCAAGAAGAGAGGTATGCGTGTATGTAGGAGTCAAGAGCCCAAGTCCAAACCATACACGCCCTCAGGCTTCAGCCGAACAATTCTTGGACCTTCTATGAAGTCTGCCTGTATCGGACTCGGAGTTTCGAATTCGGATGCTCTGAGGCCTGAGGCCCAGAGCCTCTGCCCTTTCCCTCTGCGGCCTCTGAGCTTCTGAGGCTCTGGCCCTCTGAGGCTCTGGCCCTCTGAGGCTCTGCTACACTGCTCAATTCAGGACTTCAGGAGATTTGCTGGCCAACTGTTGCTGTTTTCTGTTTTGTTTTTTAAAACAACATATAGTTATTTTTTAAAAGTAGGGGAGCGAAATAGAGTAATTTTTAACATATTTGTTATACTTCAGTTTTACCTTTGGTCGTATTTTTTAAAAACAAAGCCATATAAAAAAACACTGAGGTACATTACAGTACTAAATAGTATTTACATACTACGCTCAGGCTGACTCAGCCATTCACAAACGGTTTAGTGCGCGGCCTGTACCCACTCCCCACTCTGACGCCTCTGACGGCTGACCACCCACCACTGTCTGACCACCCCAAGAACACTGTCCACTGTCCACTAGCTCCACACTCCACAGACCACAACCCACTCACTATTTAAAAACTAAATGTATTTATTGATCATTATTAAAATAATGGAATGTCTATATACCAAATATTTACTTTATTTCGAGTCGTAGACTCTCGTATACTCTTGTAGGAGTCGTATGACTCGTAGTCTCGTACATAGCTCGTCTTTAACTTTTTTTCCTATTTATTTGGTTTATATATATACTTAGATAACTTTTTTTTATCGCATTGAACCCTAATTTTGCCCTAGTTTCTGGTTTTAGGATTCGGGTACTTGTACTGAAAAAGACAGGATTTAATTGAGTTTTGAACATAAATGTCCGGATTTCCATAGTGCATCTCAATTTCTCTATTTATTAGAACAACCCCTTCAGGCTTCAATGTTTTTTTACTATAATAAAAAATAGAATATAAATATAAGGAAAACTATGAGGACTCATTTGGCTCCTTTCACCTTTGTGATATTTAAAAAAATACATCCTTATTTTGTTCTATTTTTCAAATTGGGACACTCCTGACTCCCCGGCTCTCCTACTCTCTCTACTCTCTCTCTCTACTCTACTACTATCGAGTTGAGGCCTTGAGGGCTGAGGCCTGAGGGCGACCGAGGCCTCATAACGTACAAGGTATATAGCTGAAAACGTATTATGTTTTACGTTATCGTACACAATTATAAAGGTTTTTACGCGTACCGTATACATTTTAGTGTTCAAAACGACAACCTCAAAAAACATAATCCGGAACTGTTCTAAATAGATCAACAAATGACAAATATACATCGGTCCCGATCCGAAACTGTAGAAGTTCAATTTATATATCAGGTAGTCACTCACATTTTGGCAGATATAGTTGGGTGGAAAATGCCAATATATTGGCAGTCTTCATCGCCAAGGTCATGAAACGTACGAAAACGTATCCCGTTTACCGGTAAAGCAATGTTTTGAAAACGTTTTACGCTGAACGTAATGAGCCCTGCGGCGGGGCCCTAAGGCCTAAGTACTGTAAACAAAGCTATAAGTTCATTTTGTATTTTTCAACACATTGGTTTCTGGTTTTCGTATTTTATATCTAAATAATCGTTTGGTTTTTTTTAAAGAATTATAAAACAAAACAAACATTAGTTTTTGGGTTTTGTATGTAAATATTAACTATTGACTTCTCATTGCTTCGAAGATAAAAAAGAACAAACATAATTTGTATTTTGAAAACATTTGTTTTTAAAAAATAGAAAAAAAGTGGTTTTTTTTTGTTCCGCGAGGCGCGAGGTTCAGGGAAATTGAGTAAATACAATACAGGTCATAGACATGAATGATGCGTCCGTCACTGTGTCACATGAATCGCAAAATGGGGGGGGGGGGGGGGGGTTTAACCCCACCCATTTTTTAATACCTCAAGGGACACGATTTTAACGAGGTATACCTAACTCACTAAATGCGGTTTTGAAAATAGTCCTAATGATATTTTTTAGACTTTTTTGAAAAACATGCAAAAGAATTTAGCGAAGGCGCCAGCCGCAAAGTTGATAGCTCTATATAAAAATACATGCAGTTATGCATTGAGTGCACTTTTCGATGACCATGCCAAATCTTCGATTTCCAAGTCACATATTAGCTGTTTGAACCTTCTATGGGTCATTGTATACAAAATATGTAAGTGTTGCAGGTACAGAACCCATAACTATGGTCTAGATGGCTTATTATACTCACTCAAAATCGCCACTCACGTGCGTCACGTGCACGCACGTATAACATTGACATCCATTTTGTGTGCATATTCGATTATAGAGCTTTATTGTGATTATCAGACCTTTGTTATACTTACATGAGCATAATTGAACTACAATAATTGTATGGCAATCCTTTGTGGATGAATATTCAGTAAATTTTGATTAAAGGCTCAAGAAATGCGGTTGGTCGTGTATTCGATGACTTGGCAAGTTGGCAGTGGCATGGCACATCTCGTTGCGTAAATACAGTTCTTCTCGATTTTAACGGCTGAGGCTGGTACTAGCAGGTTGTATGAATAAATATACGATATCATTTGATCAATATTAGTATGTGACAATACTGAATCTCTATTAATTATTCATATTTGAGATTTCCGATGTAGTGTTAGTGTCCCCCGCTTTCGCGGATTATTTAGGAATACTTGATTAAAATCTTGAAATGTGGAAAACAATATTGGGAATAGACATAAATCCAGATATACCAAATCTGGAACGCTTCGCTATTTTTGTCCCGGTTTTATTCCTTTGTGTGGAGTTGCGGTAGTCCGGTAGGTGGATGGGTATTTTTTTTATAAAAGTAACTTTAAAAAAAAGACACATATGGGCAGAGTGAGCTGAGCTCGGTATTTAGCAAACTACTCTAGGTTATCCATAGCCTTCGGTTTAATTTTCAGAATGCTATGGGTTAGTGGTATTTATTTCTGTGTATCCATTTTTGTACCAAACTATACATAACGGGCATACATATATATATATCTATATATATCTATATATATCTATATATATCTATATATATCTATATATCTATATATCTATATATCTATATATCTATATATCTCTATATATATAT